GGGGGGCAGTAAGGGGCGACTAAGCCAGTGGGGGGGGGCAGTTAGGGGTGACCAGGCCGGCAGGTAGGTGAGCAATTAGGAGCCAGCAGTCCAGGATTGTGAGAGGGATGTCCAACTGCCAGCAGTAAGACATCCCCCAAGGCGTCCCTGATTGGAGAGGGTGCAGGCTGGGCTGAGGGGACCCCCCCCCATGCACAAATTTTGTGCACCAGGCCTCTAGTGTAATAATAATAGATGACTAATTTTTAAAATCTTCTTATCAAAATGTTTCCTTACAGAGTACTTTCTAATTGTAAAGGGGGAAATGTATTCAAGTGATCTAATTTAATATCATGAATAATAGAACAACCTGACACTTTGTGCTTCATATGAAGTATTCTGCCCAAAAATGTTTCAATTAAGCCCAATCAAGCCTCTAGACCAGTGTTATCCAATAGATGCTGGTGTGATGGTGGTAATGTTTTATATCTGTACTGTCCAATAAGGTAGCGACTAGTCCTGTGTGACATGTGGCTAGTACAACTGAGAAACTCAATTTTGAATTTAATTTAATGTCAACTAATTTAAATAGCCACATGTGCCCATTGGCTACCATACCGAACAGCCACGCTCTAGAGTTAACTTCCAGCTGATAGACATACATTAAATCACATAAAATCTATTTTTAAAAATTTGGGAGACAATTGGGAAAATTGAATGTGGAATGGATAGTTAATAATTTTTGGAATTATTGCTCATTTGCTTGCCATGTAACTGTCAAATAATTGGACCAATGTGAAAAGAAATATGGCACAAAGCTAACATCTGTCTAATCTTGGAATCTAGGTGAGACATCGCAGGATGTTTGTTATATATTCTCTCAACATTTCCGTATGTTTGTAAATTTGAATAATAAAAGCTGAAGAAGACATCATGCAAATATCTAATAATGCAGTAGCTGCTGCCGTGGTGAGAAAAAATCAGATGTTTTTCAGTAGCCCACTGGACGACCTAGGGAGGGGACATCCACATTCGTGTTTCAGTGGCACCTTGCCCACTCCTGGAATGGAACCTTACATCTCAACCTTTCCTGGGCCTCCTCCCCACTCACTCTCCTACACACACAGGCCCCCTCCTTGCTTCTCCCAGCATCTGTCCTCCCTTCTCTTCCCCTTCTCCTGGGCTGTTCCTCCATCCTTCCCCTCCCCGGCCTTACCCTGCCCTTCTCTCCCCAATACACTCAGATGAGTTCATGCCCTGCTGGCCAGGCACTTTGAAGATGAAACATGCTGAGTCTCCCTAAGGCCCAGAGATTGGCATCTTTTATGCAGAAGAGGGTGCGGGCCACTCCACCATTAAAACACATTCTGGAGAGGGGTTGAACCCAGCTAACCGCCCAAGCCCATAAAGCATAAATTGCCCCAACTCCATCTGCATAGCCAAGCCCCTTCCCATCGGACCATAAATAGGACTGGGGCACCTGGAGGAGCACATTGGAGTTTCCACCAAGACTCCAGACCTCACATCCTCTACTCCACAGCCCAACCTCCAGAAGCACCATGACGTGCGGATCAGGATTCTGCGGCCAGGCCTTCAGCTGCGCCTCCGCCTGCGGGCCCCGGCCCGGCCGCTGCTGCATCACCGCCGCCCCCTACCGCGGGGTCTCCTGCTACCGCGGCCTCACAGGGGGCTTTGGCAGCCAGAGCGTCTGCGGCGCCTTCCGCTCTGGCTCCTGTGGACGCAGCTTCGGATACCGCTCAGGCGGCGTGTGCGGGCCCAGCCCGCCCTGCATCACCACCGTGTCCGTCAATGAGAGCCTCCTCACGCCCCTCAACCTGGAGATCGACCCCAACGCGCAGTGCGTGAAGCATGAGGAGAAGGAGCAGATCAAGTGCCTCAACAGCAGGTTCGCTGCCTTCATCGACAAGGTGGGTGTCCCTGACCAGCCCTTCCCTGAACCCTCTGTTGCTGGGCTGGGCGCTGGAGAGGAGTCAGGGGCAGGAGGGATGTGGTCCGGGTGAGCTCCCAGTCTGACGGAATAAATGGACACACATCCAGGGCACAGACAGACTCAGAGATGTGGAGAGATGCGTCTAGGGGAGGCAGAGACTCCTGGTTTGATAGCACTGTTATTACATATATACAACCTCTGTCCACATGCAGGGAAACCACAGTGAGACAGGGCAAGGCTTGGAACTGTATCCGAGGAAGGAAGCCCTACATGCACACAAGACACAAGAAATGCATATAAGAAATAGGAGCTGGACCACAGGGACCTCCTTTTGAAAGGTGTCCTTGATCACACCTTTCCTGAAACCTCCTCATGCTCACGATTCAGGCTAGCCACGGAGGGGGGACTCAAGAGCAAAACAACCTCCACTCAGCCCCTGACTACATGCCACCTACACACATCAGAACTGAAAACTATTCACCTGAGAGCAGGAACTGACCTTTCCCATACCCTAGGTCCCATCCCTAAAATGGAAAATCCAGATATGAATAATAGTCAGGGAAACAGAAGTTGCCTTATCTCTCAATGTTCAACTCTACCTAAGCTCTGCTGAGCTCCAGCTTTGTGAGTTAACATAAAGCATCCCCCAAATTGGTTTTGGGGCATCAAGAGCCATCTCACACCTCCTCCCACCCCAAATGGCAGGTGCGCTTCCTGGAGCAGCAGAACAAGCTGCTGGAGACCAAGTGGCAGTACTACCAGAACCGCAAGTGCTGCGAGAGCAACCTGGAGCCGCTGTTTGAGGGCTACATCGAGACGCTGAGGCGCGAGGCCGAGTGTGTGGAGGCCGACAGCGGGAGGCTGGCCTCAGAGCTCAACCACGTGCAGGAGGTGATGGAAGGCTACAAGAAGAAGTGAGTGTGGCTGGCTTTGACGATGGACGCAGGGAAGGACTTAGGTTAAAGACCATTGGATTAGACATGAGAAGAATTTCCCAGCAGGGTGAGCAGCCATGCAGGCCAGGGTGGCAGGATGTAGTAGGATCTTTTCACCTGTGCAATTGTTGCCCAGATGCCTGCCTGAGAGTAGGGCCGTGATGCCCCCAGGACATCTCTCCCCTGCGTTAGCCTTCTTGGAGTCTGACCACCCAGCAGCTGTTGCCTGTGCTCTGTGGGGAGAAGGCTTCTGGCATCTTCCAGGCCTTCTCCTCCTGACTTCCCACCTATAGCACATGGCCCATGGATATGATATGAACCCTACATGTCCTGGGGCCCTGGGTGTCCCACAGCTCAGGGCTTTGAGTGCTGATGGCCTCTGGAACTCACAGACCCCACACCTGGGCGAGGATGCACACTCAGTGAGGGGTGGCTGGGCTGCTGTGCCCCAGAGGGGATGCTGGCCACGCCCAGCATGGGGCTGGTGCTGAGGCCTTATTTGCCTCAGAGCAGCTATGAGGTCCCAGAAGATTAGCCCAAAGGACCCCTCAATTCAAGGCAGCAATATCCTAAATCCAATCAAAAGGATATAACAGGGCTGCCAGGGTCCAGCTGTGGTGGGACGTTCCTAACATTGGCCCCTGCCCTGGTATGAAGTGGGAGGGGTTCATGGGAGACCTGCCCTTCCGTGACCTCCCTCTCTGCCTCTTCTGCCTCAGGTATGAGGAGGAAGTTTCTCTGAGAGCAACAGCTGAGAATGAGTTTGTGGCTCTGAAGAAGGTGAGTCATGTGGTATTGGGGAGCACAGACATGAGGGATCCTAGAATGACAGACTCTTCCTGGGGAGACCCTGAGGGTCTCAAGCTCAGTGTGGGGTGCAGTGACCTTGTCAAATCACATGGGGAATTCCCAGAGATCAGGTCATGGAAGGAACATCCAGAGCTTTGACAAAGGTCAATACCCTTGGAATATCTACTGTGTCCTGGGGCACGGGGATGGCCTGGTTGACCTCTGGATGTCCTGCTTGGCTTCGGAGGTGTGGTCTGTGGCTTGGGTCCCATAAGCCTG